AAAAAAATTAAAAATTCAAATTAATTTTATTAAAAATAAATGAATAAAGTAAAATATAAATGTATATCAATAATTAATAGTGAAAATGAATGGATATAAGAATTGTGTGCAATTCTTATTTACTTATAAGAAAATAAATAAAATTAAAAAAATCTTTTCACACTATAAAAGAAATTGTAATAAAATTAATTTATTTTAAAATAGAGTATACCTTAACCATAAAAAAAAAAAAAAAAAATCATGAATGCATGCAACTAGTAAGAAAATTCATTTGCAATAATATTTTACTAGGACTTTGGTAACCTAAACTGATTAATTTTTTCATGTCTAAACTTAGATTAATCTTATCTGTCAATATATTATATCTTGCTCCTTTAATATATATATATATATATATATTTATAATCTGGACTTAAATGAAATCAATATTAGATTGCTTTTAATTACATAATGAGTTTTGTTAACTTATCTCTTTGAAATACATATTAAAAATACTATTTTTATCATAATTTTATATAAAAAATAAAAGCTAACATTAATTTTCATTTAATTATCATATGAATAAATTTAATTAAATAATTAAATATTAAAAAATAAAATTTATTTTTTAAAAACTCTTAAAAAAGCACATATTTATAAAAACCTTTATACAATTTTAACTGTTAAATGAGAACTGAATTTCCCATTTTTAGAATCTGTGACCTTCAAATAGTTTCTATTTTTACAAACAGCAAAATATCACTTAATGCAATCAATCTCTACATATTTGAGAGCCCACAACCTTAGTAGTTCCCTCATATCTCATTTTCAGTGGAAAAAGAGTTTTGAGTTAAAATAACAGGATACACAAGTAAAATAATTTAAGTTGCTAAAGAAAATTACCTATTGTCATGCAATCTAAAAAAAAAAACAAATCTCAAACTTGTTTTAGAGAAAACACAGAAAATATGAGTAGAAGACGGCACAAAAAAACAAAAAAAAAGGAACAGTAAATTTTTTTTTTGAACATAGGAACAGTAATTTTTTTCATGTATGAGTGGTGAGGCTCATAGAATCGGCTAAAACCAATTTTAAGACCCTCATCTTACAAAATTAATAGGTTTTAATCTTTAACCTTATAATATGATATTTTTAACTTTTTATCTTACAAAATTGATAAGTTTTAACTCTTTATTTTACAAAATTGATAATTTTTAGCTCCTCACATTTATTATAATACTTTTAACCCCTTATTTGTATGAATTGAAGAAAATAATTCTTATTTAACATCAAATTATAATATTTTATTAGTTCTGTTAGTTAACTGTCAGTTCTGTTAGTTAATTATTAGCATTTGCTAGCATTTCGTTAATATAACTAACAAATAAAATTAAATTTAAAGTTCATATTTTTTATAACGGAATGCTAACGGATGTTAACAGTGAACTAATAGAATATTATAACCTGATGTTAGGTGAGAGCATTTTCTCTAATTCGTATCGGTGAGAGGCTAAAAATATCATAATATAACTTAAAAGATTAGAACCTACAAATTTTATAAGGCGAGATGTTAAAATTTACTAACTTTGTAAGATAAAAAGTTAAAACTGTCATGCTATAAGGTGAAGAGTTAAAATTTACTAATTTTATAAGATGAGGGACTAAATGTTGGTTTTTGCCCATAGAGTCCTAGCTTCAATATATCAGTGTGGTGAGGTGAAGATGAGTCCTGGTTTTCCCCATCTTAAAGGAGGGTGGGGAACTCATTATTCAACTTTAATCCCCTCATTTACCTAAAGAAAAATACTTTTAATCCTCTCGAAACATTGAATCAAACAAAGGTTCAATAATCCAAAAGCTAGCTCTATTTTACTGTTTTCCAGCTTTAGGCTCGCATTCTTTGACTGTGCCATGATTTGTGGGCTAAATTCTTGAAATCATTGCTTTCCTTAACTTTTGTCTCGAAAAAGCTTTGTGGGTCTTGATTAGTTTATGCAAAGAGTCCAACTTTCTTCTGCATTAATCTTATTTTGGTGTTTTTTTTTCCTTGTTTTGCTGTTACCCACTTGAGAATTCATTAGGGTTTGACAGATTTTTGGAGTTTTTGGGTTGAGGATGGAGGGGCAATGGGTGAAAGAGAGGGAATGTGAGTTGAGGAGAGGGAGATGAGTGAGGAATGGGGTGTGTGTTTGGGAGAGAGGCGTCGAAGAGGCCAGTGGGGAGGGGGGAGGTGAGAGGGAGAGAGGAATTTAGGTGTGCAAGAAAAGCGGAGGTGGTTGCGGAGAAAGCTGAGGATGTAGTAAGTAATGGAGGGAATAAGAGGGAGGAGGAAGAGGAGAAGAAGGTTGAAGCAGCGCCAGAAGAGAGAGTACGGTCTAGGAGGCGGTCGTCGAGGACGAATCCACGGCTGAGCAACCCTCCAAAGCACATACATGGCGAGCAAGTTGCCGCTGGATGGCCCTCCTGGCTCTCCGAGGTTGCTGGCGAGGCAATCAATGGCTGGACTCCCCGTCGAGCTGATACCTTCGAGAAGATTGATAAGGTAACGTGGCTTCTAGTTCCACCATTGTGTTATTTAGTTACAGTACAGATGGATACTTAGTTAAATCTATTACAGTGCATCGTGCTTGCTTTATTTGGTTAAACATCTTGATTTCATTTTTCTTTGGTTAGATTGGGCAAGGGACGTATAGTAATGTGTATAAAGCTAGGGATACTTTGACTGGGAAAATTGTTGCATTAAAGAAGGTTCGGTTTGATAATCTGGAGCCAGAGAGTGTTAAGTTCATGGCTAGAGAGATTTTGATTTTGCGCCGTTTGGATCATCCTAATGTTGTGAAATTGGAAGGTTTGGTGACGTCCAGGATGTCTTGTAGTTTGTATCTTGTTTTCGAGTACATGGAGCATGATCTCGCTGGATTGGTTGCCAGTCCAGCTATCAAGTTTACTGAGCCTCAGGTATAGTGTTTAAAATTGTGGTTTATAATGTGTTTCTTTATTCATATCTCTTCTGTTAACTTGTGTTGATATGGCAGGTGAAATGTTATATGCGCCAACTATTATCAGGGCTTGAACATTGTCACAACTGCCATGTACTGCATCGTGATATCAAGGGATCTAATCTTCTTATTGACAATTGTGGACTTCTTAAAATTGCTGACTTTGGATTGGCTTCGTTTTTTGATCCTAATAACAAGCAACCCATGACTAGTAGGGTGGTTACCCTATGGTATCGACCTCCAGAGCTTCTTCTTGGTGCCACTGATTATGGTGTTGGTGTGGACCTCTGGAGTGCTGGTTGCATTCTAGCTGAGTTATTAGCTAGGAAGCCTATCATGCCTGGTCGAACTGAGGTAATTCTTAATCTTCATTTTTTGAAGCAAAGCATGCCCATTGTGTTGTTCCTTTTATTCTCAAAAGCACTAGGAAGGCTCTCAACATTGTAGGCTGTTGTTGATGCTTCATTTTTGGTCTGTTTGATATATTATTTATCTATTAACTTTTTAGCTTGAATTGTTAAAGACAATGTAATGGAGAAAGGTTGTTTGCATCGAAATTTGGCTTCAAAGTAAAGTGGTGTCTGCATCAAAATTTGGCTTCAAAGTAAAATGGCATGCTTTAGGCAATTCCACTTGCATATGACCAATATTTGCAAGTTCAAGTCTATTCTTGTCTTTGCCCTTAACAAACCTCATGAGCATGAAGCTCTCTGTTACATTCTTTTATCCTGACATAACTTTCTACAATCGTTGGGTTATGATTTTGTAGCTATCCATGGAGTTTCCAATCTCCTACCTCCATACATTTCCTATACTCCATTCTATTTGCAGCTTGTCTGTAAGAGGTGATTGTTTAGTGGCAACCATACAAAGATTGCTTAACACACCACTAACACAACTGGTATCAAAATTCATAATGGTTGTTTTCTTATTATGGATTTCTTGAAAGTTCTAATGGCTTTTAGAATGACAATGAAAGGGATTGGAAAGCAATATATATAGTATTATCACATTTCCTCTTGTTCCAAAAATTTAAAAGCATGAGTTTTTTTTGCCAACAAAGCCATATGGGTTTATTCAAAGCTTTTCCAAGTACTTAGTACATGAGAAACTGTCTGCATGATTGTGTTACTTTAGTCTAAAATGTGCAGTATGTGCATGTCAGTCCATGATTATCTGTTTAATTAGCTTCTCAGGGAAGATCATGGAGTCACTTATTCAGTCTTTCAGCACTGCTGAATGTTGTGATGCCACTAATCACTCTTATGCTGCTTAGGTGGAGCAACTGCACAAGATATTCAAATTATGTGGATCTCCTTCTGATGAGTATTGGAAAAAACTGAAGCTGCCACATGCGACAATTTTTAAGCCCCAGCAATCATATACAAGATGCATAGCAGAGACATTTAAAGTCTTTCCACCATCATCATTGCCACTGATTGAGATTCTTCTTGCAATTGACCCAGATGAGCGTCAGACTGCTACAACTGCATTGAGGAGTGAAGTGAGCTTTCCTTCTTTCTTTCTTTCTTTTTTTTTTTTTTTTCCCCTCATTATTTAATATTTTTTGCTCCCTGTCCTTAGTTATTGCTCACTGTTAATAATTTTGGTCTGGCCTGTTATTTTATCTCCCTATAGCTCTGCAGAACTGCATGTATAACTTTTTGAGTGATGAATCACATCAGAGCAATTTGATAATTGAAAAGATTCATGTTTATCAGTTTTCTACGTTGGCGGATTTTTCTATTAATTCTGATGTGGTTGGTTTTTTTCATTGCTGGAGAGATGAAATCTCCATTGCAGCAAACTTAAAGAGTTACTTGTCGGTTTTTCTTTTCAGAGTTATTCTTACATGAAAATTTCCTCCAAAGTATTAGCTCTAGATTTTTTTCATTGCAAAAATATGCTCTATTGCTGTTTGATAAAGCCTATGTTGGCAAAGTTGAGTTGGATGCAAACTTATGCAGCCTGTACCTCATGTTCATTATGGGCTGTTGGAGTACTCAACAAACTTGCATGAGCTTCTAGACTAGCCTATCTTAGGCTACTCTAGATTCTAAGAGTTTGAGCCAGTGTGATATTTTCATATAATAAGTCAGCATTAGCACAAATTTTCTCCATTATCTCTGAGACTGTATTCTGTAGGATTAATGGAAATTAACTGTTTGTAAGTTTATGGTGTTCTGTTGAAAACATAATCTGACCAGTTGTTCATTGCTCTGCAGTTCTTCATGACCAAGCCATATGCCTGTGAACCTTCCAGCCTTCCAAAGTATCCTCCCTGCAAAGAGATGGATGCTAAACTGCAAGATGAAGCTAGAAGGTAAGTGACATTAAAATACCCTCAACTCCTGATTGATAGTCTAATCATTGTTGATTTTTTTAGGATCACTTTGCACTTGATAATAATTGCAAAAATATTCTGCACTCCCTGTGGTTCTTGAGTAGTGAGTGTTGTTCACAGAAAGGTAGAATATTAACCACATCTAAATTGTTGCAAGAAGATTTATTCAAAAAAAATTATAAACTCAAATGATAATCATTCAAAGTACTTGCTTTTATTGGCTAGTGAAGTCTTTCATTCAAAGCAGGCTGCAAGAATTTCTTTGTATCCATTTCTTTCCATTTTCATTTTTGCTAAAAAAGTAAAAATAAAGGTTTTGCTTGTGACCTGAACTGTGCTTTGTGACAATAGATTGAGAGCAGCTGGAAAGGCTACTGGGGATGGAGTGAAGAAAGCCCGTGCACGTGATCGAGTAAGGGCATATCCTGCTCCAGAAGCTAATGCAGAGCTTCAAGCTAATATTGATGTATGTCAGATAAGCGACCTTTTCCCTGATCAATCTGCTCACAATCTGCCCATGCTAACTTTTTTCTTTATTTCTTCTCTCTTTGTGGATAAATTGATGTTTCTATATGGTGAATATTCTCTTGATTTTGGTATCACTTAAACTGGACCTTCTTTTATGATTTTGCAATTGAGCTTAAATTGCTGCTTTTGATGGATTTGTTTGGTGAGAAAACAGAGGCGTCGTCTAATAACACACGCAAATGCAAAGAGCAAGAGTGAGAAATTTCCTCCTCCACACCAAGATGGGACTCTCGGTTATCCTTTGGGTTCTTCACATCCTATAGATCCTGTCTTTGATCCCCCTGATGTTCCATTCAGTACTACAAATTTCTCTTATTCTAAAGCACCAATCCAGACTTGGTCTGGACCATTGGTTGACCCAGCTGCTGTGGTTGCTCCAAGGAGAAAGAAACACAGTGACGGGCGTCCACGCTCAAAGTCATCCAAGAAAGACTTGCATAAAGAATAGAATTCTCCTCTAATATAAGAGACACAAGATGGTTTCTGGCTTCTTGTAAGAATTTTAATGAGGCTGCAGAAGCTGTTGATACGATGTTACTTAGGTACGGACCTGGAAGCCAGTTTATTTGCATGGAGAGGTAAAGAAATCCCGTATTCATTTTTCCTATTCCCTTGTTCTATTTTTTGTGCGGTGAGAAGCTTCTCTAATACTGTATATGTATTATTATATCTTACTTTGTATTGAGAATACTGCTTAGGTAAGTGAAAATTTTAATCAATTTGTTCCTGGATCCTTGATATTGTGTTTCGATGATTCTCTGTGAAAATTCTTTGACATGTCATGCCTATTTCATCAGAAATTTACGTATTTGTTGTTTCCTTTGCAACCGAACCACTCTAAAGACATACTTTTTTCTTTTCCCTTTTTCTCTTTTTAATGGTACATTATGTTGACTTGGATAATAGCTCTTTCGCTTTCTAAGCCTCTTTCACTCGTCTCAAGTTCTTACAAGTTGAGATTAATTAGTGTATATCAACTTGGCTATTTGAAGGGAATTATAGATTTCTAGTGAATGAACTACCATGAAAAATACAGCTGATAGAAAGTTCGTTCCTACTCCGTCTTTACTTCAAACAAATGGTTGACATTGTCATCTTAAGTTCATCCTCATGGCTACTTCCTTCCATACCTGCCATCTCCTATATGTCAACTCCACTACCATACTTCATCTAACCTTCAAACAGTGTTTGGCACCAAAAAATGCTCATTTCTCTCTCTCATTTCTATTTTTCTTCTGAATGAAGCAAAGTCAGTTTCAATTGAAAGAAAAAAACTGACCTGGAAGAAAGGTAGCTTGAAGGGTAGTCGCTCCATGTGTTTGACAGGTAGGTAGTTATATAACCTGGAACCTTGTAGATGTCTGTAGTAGGATCATGATATTTACTACTAACAAGTCGAAGGCACCCTTTATATTATTGAACTGACTTAGATATCCAAGAAACAGAGTCAAAACTTCATACTTCTCGTCATATTTCTTAACTTCCATTCTCTCTTTCAGGCTGTTTGTCTCTTTGCAGTGAGAAAGTGTTCTCTTTGTTTATTTTATATTGGTAGCAGCGTTGTCGTCTCAATTAGCTAGATTGACATTCCATTACTGAGTTAATTAACATGAGACCGCCTGGTCCTAGTGGCCCTGGGGGACCGCCGCCTCCTGGTCCTGATGGTCCGCCGCTTCCATTGCCAGGTTTCTTCAGTGGCTTTTGCAGCGTCATATCCTCTTGGTAAGCGCTAAACAGCATCTCTATACGCCAATATCCTTTGTATATTTATAATTAATAATAATAATAATTCTTTCTTTTTTTTCTTTTTCTTTTTCTTTTATATATATATATATATATATATAATTGACCAATGTCTTCAGGCACGTTTTTGTTTTGTTTTTTTTAAAGAAAAAAAAAAGGTTGAGCTTGGTTTGAACTTTTAATTGCAGAAGAAAAACAAGTCATGTCCTTTTCTTTTTGGCCATGCGTCATGTCCAGAAATAAAAACAATTTTAGATATCTTTCTACCTCTCCCAAAAATAAAAAGAAGAAGAAGTAGGACTAACCATTTCTTTTCTTCCGCCATACATTTGACAGCCTCTATGCTATATGCTGTTGCTGGTTGATACAAGACTGCTTTGGTGGTCCGCCTGAGCCAGCTCCACCTCCTGGTCCTGGTCCTCTTGACGGGCCACCAGGACCACCTGCTCCAGTTCCTCTTCCACCCTTTCCTCCAGCTCCAGCTCCAGCTCCAGCGCCTCCTCCACCTGGTCCTTTCGGTGGTCCACCCGGACCCCCTGGCGGTCCACCAGGACCACCACCTCCTTGATACTGTGGCTCCATAAACATTAATTACGAATGTACGTCTGTTCACTAACCAACAAAGTATAATGTTCTCAAAAGAGCATATTCTGTCCATTTCATTTTCTCTCTTTTTTTTTCTTTTTTTTTTTCTAGGTTAATAAGGAGTGTTCATCAATTATTAAAATTTGGTATGTCAAGTTATCAACATTCGTAGGAGGTTAAGAAAAAAAAGCCAACCATGTTGCGTGGTATGGGCTTAGTGGTATGGCTTGCAAGTCATAGCTTTAAGTTTGATCATTGACTTTCATCCCTTTTCTCTCAGAATCTGTATTGTAATGTTATTACTCTTATTCAAGAAAGAAAAACAATTGATTGATATATGAAACTTCTATTTATTATGAATTTTTATTATTAGTGAATGCTTCACCTTCACATTCATCTCTTTCATATTGTAACTCCTCACAATTAAAAGTTTAATTCTCACCATTAAAAGGTCATTCATGATCCCACTAAAAGCTATTCAAAAGACTATTAAGGTGTCATTCAAGAATCAATTAAAATACCATTCATTCTATTATTTAGTCATATTCAATAGTAAATGTAACCTCCCTATATCCCTTAACCTATATATAGGCCTACAAATTTGAATGTTTGTACATGAAAGAATACTCAGTGAAATAAGAAACTCTCTCCCTTTCATTTGTCATTTTGCCACTTTTCCTCTTATTTTATAATACTATTTACCTTTTTATTATAGTGTATGTTAAATTTACTATTAAATAAATGTTATCTTTTATTTCAAATCTTAAAGGGGCACATTAGCCTATTCAAATCTTGCCATGCACAAACAAAATGGGGAACATTTTCCAATTTCTGTTCCATATCAATTGCTCTCAATTATGAAATGTAAAGGAAAAATGGTAAAGTATAAAGAAACTATAAAGCTAACGCCATAAAAAAATTTTAAAAAAATTAGGTTCTTCATGAGCAAAGGCAGCATTTCTAACAATGAGAAATAAGCTACTCATCACTAAATTTTTAATTTACCTGCTAGGAGTCTGCTAAATACACCAAATCATTCAACAATGGAAGCAATGACTATTTCAAGAGCCAACAGTCGAATCCTATTCTTCTTCTTCTTCTTCTTCATGCAAAATGTCTGGACCATTCTTTGGTTTTGCACATGATAAGCATGGATTATGCTTGGTCAGCAAAAGTTATCAGAGAGAGTCAAATGTTTTACCAAACCATTTTGATTTGAAGATTTCAACATCGGATCCTTGTTCCGCCATTTTGATTTGGGCCAGGGTCCCCACCAAAGTAAGTTGGTTGCTCAGGTATTTTGTCTCCATCTCCTCTTCGATTAATTGAACCACATATTGTAGTTT